CCATGCCACATTACTTGCCACAGGCTTAATCCCACAAATCTATCTATCTATCTATCATCTATCTATCTATCTATCTATCTATCTATCTATCTATCTATCTATCTATCTGGTACTTTTCAGAGCTGTTGTATTGATGTCTGTCCTGCTGCTGCTTTTTAAATTCTGGTCTTATTCAGTGGCAGGTTTTATGTTGTACAGTATTAGATTTTCTTTTGATATTGTAACAGTTTCATTTTAAATTTTATTTTTTCACTTCTAAACCACCCACAGAAACCTTTGTTCTTGTGTGGGTATATAAATATTGAAGAATAAATAAAATGTGGTTGAAACACATACCTGCCCACGTGTTCCCAGAGCAGCGGGGGGAGGTGGGGCACCAACCCAAAGGAAGTAGCGCAAGCAGCACCAGCCACCCTAAAAGTTAAATATGCCATTACTGTTTGAGAATGTGCAAAAGTGATTAATGGCTCTCTGGAGTATGGAGGAAGGAGTTGCTCTTTTTCCTTCTCAAAAAGTTGCAGACAAATAAAAATGTCTCTGACCTGGATAGCCAAGCCTCTTTTCCATTTTGGTTACTTTTGCTATCAATCTAGAAACGGTGCTGAATTCTGCGCGGCTGCTTCTCTTTTGTGCCTTCCCTGATTTAGAGCTTTTTCTTAACCCCGTCTTTCAAGACTATAGGCTTCGCAAGGAGGCTTGCATTTAGTAACAGATGCACACTATCGTTTACAAACAAACTTCAAAAATCAACTAGTTTCCAGGTCAATAAAATTCAATATATAGCAACTCCAGCAGGTTATTGCTGGACTTGCTATCAGCCATCGCTGGCATGGCCAAGGGATCATGGATGATGGGAGTTGTAGTCCAGCCCATTGGAGATGTTCCCTATCCATGCTCCTGCTGAGCAAAACTGATGGTACAGTGGTACCTCGGGTTACGTATGCTTCAGGTTACATACGCTTCAGGTTACAGACTCCGCTAACCCAGAAATAGTGCTTCAGGTTAAGAACTTTGCTTCAGGATGAGAACAGAAATCACGCGGCGGCAGCACAGCAGCAGCAGGAGGCCCCATTAGCTAAATTGGTGCTTCAGGTTAAGAACAGTTTCAGGTTAAGTATGGACCTCCTGAACGAATTAAGTACTTAACCTGAGGTACCACTGTATTGTAAGGCTTCCTTGAAAATGAAGGAGCCATGCATATCTTTCTTGGAAGGCAGTGCCATATGGTTGGAGCCACCACTGAGAAGGCCCTGTTGCTAATGCCCATGAGCACAATTGAGCTTAAAGGTGGCCCACAAGTAGTTGCCACAGAAGCTGATCTATCTGTTCAGCAAAAACTAACACTGGAATCAAACCATGAGTGCTATATTTGCTCTCCTTTCCCTCTACTGGGATTCTCAAGGCGGGAAATAGAAATATCAGAAATGGATCTCTCCTGCCACCTATGTCTCTAACAACAACAACAACAACAAGAAGAAGACATCTGGATCCTTCTCTTTTAAATGAGCATGGGTGACTCTTCCATCTTTTATATCACATTTTTCAGTTGCTCAAAGCTCCCTTGGCAGTGAGTTCCAAAGACCAGGCATTCCTAAAAATAAAACAAAAGGCTCCGTCTCGAATCCTCATCCTCTGCATCTCACTGGGTGGAATAAAGTTTCCTGGCGAGTGCAGAGTGCGGACAGGTTCAATGCAAGAGGAGACTGTCCTGGAGATTGCCCAATCTCAAGCTGTTTTTAGGGCTTGAAACATACAGGCTTCCACGTTGCTTTAGTGGCACAGTGAGTCCTTGGGTCTTGCTGTTAACCAGAAGGTTGGTGGTTTGAGCTCACCCAGGGCTGGCTGTGGGCAGGATCCTGCATTGCAAAGAGCTGGACTAGAGGACCTCTGGGGTCCCTTCCAAGTCGACAATTCAATGATCACATGCTCCCACAAGTTCTTTGTCAGGTACATAGAAGCAGTAGCATGGTGGCATGTTCTACTTTAGAGGACAACCCTGCATTTGAAAGGCAGTTAGAGGGTGGTCCTCTCTTTGAAGGCATCCTCTGTTTCAAAGGCTATCCAGTCCAGAACTCCGACAAGAGGGACCTTGGAGGATCCCCATCAACTGCTCCCAACCTGGACAACCAAATAAGGAACACATCAGGTCACAGTCTGGCCCCAGTCTTCTCCAGCTATGTTGAGATGCGTCGCAGACAGCTCAGTTGGTTAGAGCGTGGTGCTGATAACGCCAAGGTTGCAGGTTCAAACAACTGCATATATTCCTGCATTGCAGGAGGTTGGGCTAGAACATGGGTAGGCAAACTAAGGCCCGGGGGCCGGATCTGGGCCAATTGCCTTCTCAATCCGGCCCACAGATGGTCCGGGAATCAGTGTGTTTTTACATGAGTAGAATGTGTCCTTTTATTTAAAATGCACCTCTGCCTGGTGTTTCACATGAGCAGAACTGTGCTTTTATTTAAAATGCATCTCTGGGTTATTTGTGGGGCATAGGAATTCATTCATCCCCCCCCAAATATAGTCCGGCCCCCCCCACAAGGTCTGACGGACAGTGGACTGGCCCCCTGCTGAAAAAGTTTGCTGACCCCTGGGCTAGAATGACCCTCAAGGTCCCTTCCAACTCTACAGTTCTATGATTCTATTATTTCTATTCACGTTTTGCGGTGCCCACTGAGAATGGTCAGAGCAGAATGCAGGGATGCAGAATGCTCAGTGGAACCAGAGCCCAGAGCCAATGAGAGGTGGAGGTATAATTCTAGCTCTGCCCCCCATCCTCCTCCTTGCTGAGTCTCTACAAGGGCAACACTGGGACTCAAGTGGAAGAAGCTGGCAGACCCCATCCCCCTAGACTGGATGCGAGTAAGAAGGCAGGCAAGTGGGGGCTGGCTGAGGGCAGACGTAGGCTTGGGGAACAGCGCCTTCACTGTTCATACCACAGTCATTATTTCTAAATCTGCATCCACCCTGTTAACATAAATTAGTATATGTGAGTTTGATGCAAAGCGGTGTCCTAAGTGGCCATACAAAGAAGAGGGTTATCCCTTCCCTATGGGCTTGAAAGCAATTGTTTCGCTTGAGCCTGGAACAGGAATCCAGTACAGGCACCAGAATACTGTTATAATACTGGTTGACACCAGAGCACAACAACATGACAGTAGTAATAATAATAAAAATAATAAAATTATTAATTACTTGTACCCCACCCATCTAACTTGAGTTGCTCCAGTCACTCTGGCAGCTTCCAACAGAATATAAAAGAACACAAGATGCATCAGACATCAAAAGCTGGGCCATGTTCTCAGTGGGGGTTAGTTTAAATGATTATTTTATTTTTTAGCTTGAGCATATTCCTAATGTTGCAAAGATGCTGGGGGACGGGGACGACTTGCTGCAGCAAAGTAATGTTTGGGAAATGACTTTCCCCGTCCCCTGTGCTCCAAGTCCTGTAACCTTGTCTCCCATGATCGATGCCTATTAGTTTCTGCGGCCGCTGCCAAAACAACTTGCTTCAGATGGGCCCCCTTCCTCCGCCAGCTAGACTGGAAGATGAGCCCAAGATGGTTCCCAGAGGTGTACTTAGATTCAAGGTAGCTTCAAGGAAACAAGATATGCCATCTGAGTCCAGGACCTGTCAAAATGGCAAGCTGCAGAAAGCGGCTATTTTTAAATGCTGCGGGGATCCGAGTGCTCATTTTGGTTTGGGATCTGTCTGCTGGATCCCACTCCCACATACCTCTTCAAGGCAATTTGGGGAGGGGGAGGTTAACAGTTTCTGCACTTAGGCTCTAAAACTGAAGGTTTGTGGGTGAATTGGGTGTGATCTCCTGTTGACCAGAGTCCACAAGAGTCCCACTCTCAGTTCAGGAGCTTCCTAGAGACCAACTATTCAGGCCCCACATCCAAATATCAGCCTCCCCACCTGTCTTTCTGGTATTTTGGTTGGCGTTTCTCTTCACACATTCAAACGCATCTTAGCATCACTAAAGGGTGACTTGTGATTCGTTTGGTCATTTATGGTGGGCAATCCCAATAAAGGCATGCTTTAGGAACATCAGGAGCTGCCTTATCCCACTGGCCCATCTATCTCAGTGTTGTCTACACGGGCAGGGAGCAGCTCTGTGGGGTTGTGTGTGTGTGTTACAGGAAGGGGGTCTTTCCTAGCCCTACCGGCAGATGCTGCTCATTGAACCAGGGGAATTCTGCATGCAAATCAGACGCAAGCCACGTCGTCTCAGGATCCCTTTTCAGTACGGAGTTTCCCAAGCGGTCCGCTTTCCTTGTTAACTTAGTAGGGTTTGTGTCTCCGCTTGGGATATCAGTAGAAACGGGAAGATGGGGAAGAAATAGCCCATAACTAGCAGGGAGCGTCTCTGCTTGCCTCCCAACTTGAAACAACAAACATTCCAGGTTGCACAGAGCGCTGTGCGTGTATGTGTGTGTATGCACACTCCTCTTTCCAGGCGGGGTTTTCAATCCCCAAAGGAGAGCTATCATTCTCAGCGACGAAGGGGGGAAACCCACCCTCGCCCTCGCCGGCTCAAACGCACAGTGGCGCGCAGGGAAACGAGCAGGCAGGCGCACGCACTCGCACATTACAAAGCCAGGGAGGGCATCGAGCCCCTGATCGGTGACTTCCCTCCCTCCCACCCCCCCTTAATTCATTTTTGCCTGCGATTTCTTCCCAGCTAGCCAGAGGCTGCTCTAGGTGCCCAAGGTGCACCCGCCCGCCCGCGCGCGCACCCAACCCACTCACACGCCCGTTCCTGGCTCGCACGCGTGGCGGCAAGAAGCTGGCAAACTTCACGCGTCCTGCCCCGGCGTGATGGGAGCTCTTGCGCGAGAGAGAGGTCGGGGTCGTCTCCTGCTTCGGATTCAGAGGCAAGCTCCGGAGCCTGCTGCGGATTAGCGGGATAAAAGAGAGCGAGCAAGAGGAGAAGGGAGAGGAGCCGAGCGGGGAAAGCCGCAATGCCTGTTGCTTGGAAGGGGATCGTGGCGGATTCGGTCGGCTCCCCCCGCGGCTCGCCTTTCCCGCTTCCCCCCTCGGGCTGCGGGGCTCCGGAGGGCAGCTACGGCCAGCGGCGGGAGGCGAGCGGCGGAAGGTGAGCCGGATCCCAGCCCTCCATCCCCCCCCCCGGGTTAGAAGAGGGAGGAAGGCGGGAAGCGGGGCGGGAGAGCTCAGCCATGGCTCCTCCGGCGAGAAGGGCGAAGCGGGAGCGAGATCCCGAGACCCGCGCGGAGGAGGAGCAGAGTTGCAGGGAGAGATGGTGTGCTGCAACTTTGCCTGCATCGTGGAAAGTTGTCTCTGGTTTCATTCCCCACTTCCCTTCCCATGCAAAATCTTTATATCTTAATTTTTTTAAGAGAGAAGGCAAACGTGCACCATATGCATGCTTGCTCAGAAGTAAGCCCCGTTGTGTGCAGCGGGGCTTACTCCCAGGCAAAAGTGTGTGCGGCTAAGATTGCAGCCTTGCAGAAGCCTGGTTACACCTCTTCCGCTTCGGCGTTCGTGCGGGAGAGAGGCACGGGGGTTGCAAATTTAAAACGGGCTTGCAAATTCGGTTGCAAAGGTCTTTTCCAAACCGAAAGCCTGGGGGGTGATAATAAAAATAATAGCTGGGTTTTCAGAAGGGGCGGGGAAGGGGTGTGTGTGGCGGCCCCGCCACCCCCCGGCTCCCAGGTAAGGCGGTCGGCTGCATTGCCCAAGGTGCATGGTTAGACATGCACCCGACAGCTCACTTTATTTTGGCTCCCAGGCACGACGCAGAATCCTGTTCTGTACTCAGCTTGAAGCTTGGTTCTCCCATTCTGCCTGGGTGGGTTGTGCATGTGTGTGTACGTGTATATGCGCGTGAGTGTGTAAGAGAGAGAGAGGGAGAAGCGAAAGACCCTTTGCTTTAGGTATGAAGCCGCTGATTTGGTGCCCTCTCGTGGCTCTCCGTTTCATACCATTATATCGTGTATATCTGTATATAAAACCATGGAAAATATATATTAAAAAAGCAAGAGGTTGCAATTCCTTAAGCACAAGTTTTAAAAGGTGAGGAAATAAGGACGTTGGTCCTGGGGGAGAAACTTAGCCTGCGTGTAAAAACCACTGGGATCATCTTGAATGTAAATCTATGCAGCAACTGGATCTAGACAATGCCATTTTTCATGGTGGATTTTAGTACTTGAAACCTCTCTGCATCCTTTTCAAGAAGAATTTTGGAAATGGCATTTTCATGCTTCTGTAAGTTTCAGTTCCACTTAACAAACGAAGGACAAATTAGTTTCCTAGCTGGTTTCTTAGTACGTATATCTTACTTCAGATCTTACAATAGTAGATATTTCCTCTGGCTCTGCATCAAGATCCCCCCCCCTCTCTCTCTCACACACACACACTTTCTTTAAAAATCAAGGAAACAGCAGGAAATGAACAACCCTGAAATTATTGCTAAATTCCCCCTGGAAAAAAATGTGGTTTTTATCTGCCTCCAGAGCTTGATTGCAGCTTAGTATGATAGATTTTGTACAATCACATGGTTCAACTCTGATTCAAATTTTGGCCACGATCATCTGCCAAAAAAAAATCACCTCTTCACTGTTAATGTGCTGCTTTGCAAGGATGGGCCTTCACAGGTTGCATATAGCCATATAAGATAGTATTATTCTAGGTTTGCTTTGAAAGCACACATGCAGACAGACCTCTTTCTCCCTTTTCTGGAAAATGAATAGGACTTTACAGCTGCTGATTGTGTCTGTCTTTAAGAGAATGTGTGGTGGCAGCAGCCACAGCAGCAAGCAGAAAAAAGGGGTGTGCGCAAGACTGTTCCATTCTGGAGAACCAAAATGTGCAGTTAAGGTGTCGTCTGAAGTTAGGGTTTTCCTTTAATTTTAAAAAATGGCAGAGGCGTGCAATCTGCAGTGGTAAGATGCCTGTAAATACTGGCGTGCCCTGGGGGAATAAAGGCATTCCTTAGACGGGCTTTTGGGACTGCATACCTTCGCTGGGAAAATAACATGCATGTCACAGTTCCTGCATGATGCTTGTAGAGGTGGCTCAAGTTATTTTGCTGCCTGAGGCAAAGGACAAGATGGCTTCCTCCCATTCCAAGTTCAGAAAATGATTCGGCTGGTTGTTGAATCTTGCTACTGGCCATGGGGTAGTCTGGGGTGCGTGACTGGCCTGGTTGGCAGCGCACACAGAAGCCAAATGAAGCTGAAGATTCAGGGCAGGCAAAATTAAAGTGCTTCTTCCCACAGCGTGGGAGAGTTCTGTTGCGTTGAAGTCTTGCTTGCGGGCTTTCCATAGGCATCTGGTTGGGCACTGTGAGAAGAGAGTGCTGAGAGTGCTGAACTAGAAGGGCCTTTGGTCTGATCCAGCAGGGCTCCAAGAAGAGGAGGGCTCCAGCGTGCAGAGGAGGAACAATGGGGAGGGGTGGGGCCTGATACTGCTGCCTGCCAGCAGCTGCCGCCTGAGGTAGTTACCTCACTCTGCCTAATGTCAGGGCTAACCTTGCAGGTACAATGTGTTTATTTGTGTGTGTTTACACCTTATACAAAAGACACTCCATGGTGACCTTAGGCACCCTATGATTTAAGGCCACATCTACACCGTACAGCAGAGGGTGTTCCGCAAAGAATCCCGGGAACTGTAGTTGACCCCTCACAGAGCTACGATTCCCAACACTCTTGAAAGGCTACAGTTCCCAGGATTACGTGTGAGGCAGCCGTGTGCTTTAAAACGCACGGTGTAGATATAACCTAAGTTACCCGATGCTCATTCAGTAGTCAAAGCTGCCATCCTATACCAGCTTTACCTGGGAGTAAGCCCCATTTAATTCAATGGGACTTAACTCCTAAGTACACATACATAAGACCGTGCTGTAATTAACTTCCAAGATGGAAGTTCTGAAATTTTCAGTACAGTTAATTATTTGTTTGTTCATTCTAAACATATTTTTGTCCATTAATTTAAGGCGACAATTCTCAAGAGTGACTCGCAACAGTCTGGAGCAAAGACCGAGATCATGCAGAATAGTAAAAACCCGAGTAAAGTGATTTTTTAGAACAACAGATGCACTGCTAGAAACCATCAGGATTGAAATAATCTTGGGAGTTGTGCTAGGAAGTCTGGCTGAATGCACAATTATTTACCTGCTGTCAAAAGGATATCAAATTTGGCACCAGGTAAGCCTGCCTAGCAGTTTGAAAGCATGTCAAAGTGCAAGTAGATAAATAGGTACCGCTCTGGCGGGAAGGTAAACGGCGTTTCTGTGCGCTGCTCTGGTTCGCCAGAAGTGGCTTAGTCATGCTGGCCACATGACCTGGAAGCTGTACGCCAGCTCCCTCGGCCAATAAAGCGAGATGAGCGTCGCAACACCAGAGTCGACCATGACTGGACCTAATGGTCAGGGGTCCCTTTACCTTTACCTTTAAGCCTACCTGGCAGAGAGATTCCATGTGTGCAGTTGCCCCAGTGGAGAAGGCCTTCTAGTTCAGCTCCGGCCCTATCGCTAGACAGAGGAAGGCAGCAGAACCTTGGGGGGTAGGGAACAGTAGCAAGGCTTTGTGAGCTCAGGCCTATGTGTGCCACATGGCCTTATCCCAGTGCCATTAGCTAGCCTCCTGCCCTCAGGGGCAATGGACAACACTGTTCTGCTAGCATTGAAGTGCAATGTGACCTCTGACTCATCACAAGCCATCGGATGAGGAGGTTCCATACAAGCCTGCCCTTGCTATTGTGAGAATAGGCTGATCCCATGCCACTCTACAGTCCCGATTTAAGCAGGACACCCCGGAATTACAGAAGACCATCTTGGCTTCTGTACTGCATCCCAAAATCTCCAGGGTTTTTTTCTGGTTCGGCTCTCTGGTGCAAGTCAGCTGGCTCGCACCAAAGCACCGGACCGAAAAAACGAACAAACAATTGCTCAAGATTGCTCAGGATGGGGGGAAAAAGGAGCGTCCTGATTTTGGTCTGTGGGATGTTGATCTGAAACCTTGCCTACAAGTCTTGCCCGCAGGTATAGGCAAAACTGTATATCTGGAGACTGGTACCATTTCCTAGACAGAAACCCACCTTAATGGCTGAGGCTGCATCCTTGTGACTTCATTCCTCGTTCTGTTCCAAAGCAGTGCAACTCGGTACTTTTGAATCTTTAATTGGCCGATCTGTTGCCAGCAGGGCTTTCCCAACCCTCTTCGCTCTCTTAGGGAAAGCAACTCGTCATTTGCAGAGCCTGGAAACACTCAGTGAATCCCTTTCACCACTTAATGGGATTGCCTTCCTGGCAAAAGACCCATTTGCTTGAAAGGGAGGGAAAGACCCAAACATCTTTGCTTGGCTCGTTTCATGGAAATCCGGACCAAATTACCTTCATAAAACACACAGGCTCAAGACCTTTTATAGCTCCTCAGAGCTGGAGGACCGTTTTCAGAAAACCCACCAGGCATAATTGGCTTTTTGAAATAGGCAGAAGCCCTATTGATCCTAGATTTGGAAAGACTATCCTTCCACTGATAGCAGAGTTTTGATCACAGCAAGAACGGCATGTTCTATTGGGAGAGAGAGAAATTGTTTCCTAAGTATAATAATTTTCTTCCTTTTCCTCTTTTTTTTTTTTAAATTAGCAACCCCACATACTTTTAACCTTCATGAATGCAAAGTACAGCACAGAAATATCTGAGACAATGCCTGTCAAAGCCTTGGAAAGGTTACAACATCTAGGGTTCTTTAATTTAGAGCGATGTTTCCCAAACTTGGGTCTCCAGCTGGTTTTTGGACTACAACTCCCATCATCCCTAGCTAGCAAGACTAGTGGCCAGGGGTGATGGGAATTGTAGTCCTGAAAACAGCTGGAGACCCAATTTGGGAAACAATGGTTTTAGAGAAGAGGGAGATAAGAGGCGATATGATAAGAGTAAAATTATGTGGAGAAAATGGACAGAGACAAGTTTTTCTCCCTCATAGTGCTAGAACTTGGGGCCACCCAATTAAGCTGAATGCTGGAAGACAAAAGAAAATACTTCTTTTTCACACAATGCAGAGTTAAACTGTGGCATTCCCTCCCACAAGAGGTAGTGAGGGCCACCAGTTTAGATGGCTTTAAAAGATCAG